AAAAAAAAAAAAAACGGCATTTCTTTTGCAACCTACTCCTACTCTGAGCTGTAAAGATACTTCTCTTCTGTTTCTGCCAGTTTGAGCACCAAAGGGTTACTATTGCGTTCTGCATCACCTTCGGCACTCAGTGGTATTGGACAGTCTTTTCTTTTCGAATTTTGATTTATTTAAATTCTTTCTTAATTATTACTCTTTGCTTGATTAGGGAACAATTCAATTTGGGATCTGTCCGACCCTTCCCTATCTGTTCCTCCCCCTCCAGTCCGGGCACGGGGCCAGTCCGTCAGATTGGCCCTCGCGTGACTCTTCAGACTTCGGGCACAGCAGTGCATGACACTGCTCACTCGATCACAGACCAAGGCCATGGACCGGAAGGCGGGGGAATCCCTCCTGAGCTATGAGGAACGCCTGGCGGCATTCATTCAAGAGGCCAACGATAGGGCCGCCGCCGCAGCCAAGGAACGTCAGCAGCTTGAACAAGAGGAGGAGGCCAAGCGACAGAAGGAGGAACGGGACCGACTTCGTCAAGAGGAGGCAGACCTGCAGGTGGCAGCTGAACACCGGTCACGCCAGCGGGAACGACTATTCACGCGGGAGACCGTGATCGGCGATGAGGCCGCACGTTGGGTGGAAATGGCATCTACAGACGAGGCCCCGGAGACTGAGAAAGGGCTGTCAGCCCTTGCACAGGTCTCCCACGACCTCGTGGCCACCTGCGCTCTGCAGCAGGAGGAAATCCTCCACCTGCAGCAGACAGTGGACCAGATGCTCGCACGGCTGCAGGCGTTGGACAAACAGCCAGCAGCTGTAGCAGCCGCAGGGCCTGCAAACCTTGCGACCCGTGTTCGAGTCTTGGAGGACGACGTCGGCAATATCAAGCGTGTGCATCAGGACTTCAGGACGTCGCAGCAAGCAACGAACTTGCAGTTGGAGACGCAGGTCCAGGCGGCTTCCACCGTGACGCCCGCCACCACATCCTCCAGGCGCCTACCCAAGCTAGATGACATTCCAGTCTTCTGCGATCAGTCCAAGACGGAACCGATCCCGTGGTGGCGCCAGTTTACTCTCMGGCTCGACATGCACCATGTCCCGAACAACGATCGACATCCGTGCTTGTACCACCGATCTGGTGGTGCGTGTCAAGCATGGCTGGACAACATCTTGACCAGCCACGGCGTAGCAGTGTCGGAACTACACACCAAGCTCACTTGGCAGGAGTTGACCGACGCCTGGCACAAGCGATTCCAAGTGGAGCCGCCCGACCTGCAAGCGATGGACAAGCTCAACAAGCTCCATCAAAACACGCTGCTCAGTCAGGACTGGATCACCGAGTTTCAAAGACTCGCCTCCACACCTAACCTGCCGCTTGCATTCTGCGCCATCAAGCATTTGTTTATCATGCGCTCGTGTCCAACGCTGCAAAACGCGCTTACGCAGCTTGCAGAGACACTCGACACATCCGACAAGCTTTTTAGCACAGCGTCACGGATCATTCTGACAAATATCGAAGCCCGCAACGCAGGCCGATCTTCCGCGACGACGAGCGGCACCCAGCTCAAGCCAAAGGTGGCTTGCACTTGCATTATTTCTTCCGAGGCTGCAACACCAAACGAGGGTGAAGTGTTGGCAGCTGCTCGGGATGGTGGCCGGCCGCGCAACAACCACGGCCGCGACAAGACGAAGACTCAATCCACCTCAACACCGAGCACCGGATCAGCCGTCGACGAACCTTGGGTACAATACGGACTCCCGGCGAACTCTTATCGCACGCGACTCAAGTACCGGTATTGCCTTTGGTGCAACAGCACCATCCACGATGCTGCACATTGCCCCACCAAGGGGAAACCCCGTCAGGGAAAGTAGGCGCCGCCGAGGGATACTCGACACCTCCCTCGACGCCAGTCTCGAAAAGCTTTGGCACTTACAACTTGGCACCGAATGGAAGAGCGAGGGGGAGGAATAGTACACGGGACCTCGGCGCCAGTTGCATCACGAATCGTGAGCGTGCGTCGATGGAAATTGATCGTGTGGTCCACGCTAGAAAGCCAAGGCATCCCCGAAATGACATCGAAGTCGGTGTCCAACACGTCAAAAGTGACGGGTTCACATGCGTGCGGTGCAAAGTACACCGGGACAGCCAAGATGTAACGGTCTAAAAGCTGTTTMGTCTTACCGTCGGCAAGAGCGACCGTCGTCGGATGTGACTTCCTCCGTACTTGTGCGCCAAGGCCAGCCCGAGTCATGAAGGACTGGCTGATGAAGTTGCGAGTTGCGCCGCAATCTAGCAAAGCGTTGCAGGCCGCTTGCCCAATCTGAATGC